CCATGGGTGCCCCACAATGCCAACTGTGGGTCACGGTGTGCACACCCCCCCCCCCAAAACCTTCCCCCCCCCCCATTGGCCAGTCCGATGACGTGATTGATGACGTCAGCGTGTTCCCCACCCCCCCCCCAGCTGCCGCCCCAGATGGCCCGGTGGGGGGAGGGGCGGGGGTCTCCTCCCCCCCCCCCCGTGTCCCCAAATGACCTCGGAGGGGGCGTGGCCATGAGAGAGGGGCGTGGCTCCGCCCGCTCTGGCTCCGCCCCCTCCCCTTTGAGCGCAGCAGCGGCTTTTACGACAGTCCCGGCCGTAAAGCGAGAGAGCGGCAGCGAGCGGCGCAGGGTCGGTACCGGGGGGGGGGGGAAAGGGCCGGGACCCCCCCATTGAGACCCATTGAACCCCATTGGGCCCCATTGAGACCCATTGAGACCCATTGAAACCCATTGGGCCCCATTGAACCCCATTGGGCCCCATTGAAACCCATTGGGCCCCATTGAGCCCCACTGAGCCCCATTGAGCCCCATTGAACCCCATTGGGCCCCTCTGACCCCCATTGAGCCCCATTGAACCCCATTGAACCCCATTGAACCCCATTGAGCCCCGTTGGGCCCCATTGAACCCCATTCAGCCCCACTGAACCCCATTGAGACCCATTGAACCCCATTGAGACCCATTGAGACCCATTGAGCCCCATTGGGCCCCTCTGACCCCCATTGAGCCCCATTGAACCCCATTGAGCCCCATTGAGCCCCATTGGGCCCCATTGAACCCCATTCAGCCCCACTGAACCCCATTGAGACCCATTGAACCCCATTGGGCCCCATTGAGCCCCATTGGGCCCCATTGAACCCCATTGGGCCTCCCGGCACCCCCATTGAACCCCATTGGGACCCATTGAGCCCCATTGAGCCCCATTGAATCCCATTGAGACCCATTGGGCCCCATTGAACCCCATTGAGCCCCATTGAGCCCCATTGAACACCATTGGGCCTCCCGGCACCCCCATTGAGCCCCATTGGGCCCCATTGAACCCCATTGAGCCCCATTGAATCCCATTGAGACCCATTGGGCCCCATTGAGCCCCATTGGGCCCCTCTGACCCCCATTGAGCCTCCCGGCACCCCCATTGAGCCCCATTGAACCTCATTGAACCCCATTGAACCCCACTGAGCCCCATTGAACCCCATTGAGCCCCATTGAGCCCCATTGGGCCCCTCTGACCCCCATTGAACCCCATTGAACCTCATTGAACCCCACTGAACCCCATTGAGCCCCATTGAACCCATTTAAACCCCGTTGGGCCCCAGTGAACCCCATTGAGCCCCACTGAGCCCCATTGAACCCCATTGAGCCCCCCGGCACCCCCATTGGGCCCCACTGACCCCCATTGAACCCCATTAAACACCGTTGGACCCCATTGAACCCCATTGAACCCCACTGACCCCCATTGCCCCCCCCGGCCCCCACCATACCCCTTTAGCTCCAATTGAGCCTCTCAGACCCCCCAAAACCCTTCAACCCCTCTGGACCCCCCCCCGAAGCACTCCGAAAGCCCCTCAGACACCCCAGTGACCCCCCTCCAACCCCCCATTAACCCCCCCAAACCCCCTCCATCACCCCATTAACCCCTTCCAACCCCCCCATTAACCCCCCTCCAAGCCCCCCATTAACCCCCCCATTAACCCCCCCAACCCCCCCATTAACCCCCTCCAACCCCCCATTAACCCCCCTCCATCACCCCCATTAACCCCCCCAACCCCCCCATTGACCCCCCATTGACCCCCCCGTTAACCCCCCCATTAACCCCCCCAAACCCCCTCATTAACCCCCCAACCCGTCCAACCCCCCATTAACCCCCCCAACCCCCCCATTAACCCCCTCCATCACCCCATCAACCCCCTCCAACCCCCCATCAACCCCCCCCAACCCCCCATTAACCCCCCCAACCCCTCATTAACCCCCCCATTAACCCCCTCACCTTTCCCCCCCCAACCCGTCCAACCCCCCCATTAACCCCCCATTGACCCCCCCATTAACCCCCCCATTAACCCCCCCAACCCCCCCATTAACCCCCCATTAACCCCCCCAACCCCCACATTAACCCCCTCCAACCCCCCATTAACCCCCCTCCATCACCCCATTAACACCTTCCAACCCCCCATTAACCCCCCTCCATCACCCCATTAACCCCCCCATTAACACCCCCCCATTGACCCCCCCCATTAACCCCCCCAACCCCCCCATTAACCCCCCCATTAACCCCCCACATTGCCCCCCATTAACACCCCACTGACCCCCCCATTGAACCCCCATTAACCCCCCCATTAACCCCCATTAACCCCCATTAACCCCCTCCATCACCCCATTGACCCCCTCCAACACCCCATTAACCCCCCAAACCTCCTCCATCACCCCATTACCCCCCCCCAACCCCCCATTAACCCCCTTTCCCCCCCATACCCCCCCCCCACACACTTTACAGATGGAAACCCGCTTCACCCGGACCAAATCATCGGCGCTGGAACGGGCGCTGGGCCGGACGCGGGGCGAGGTGACGCTGAGCGCCTTCGCTTTGCTCTTCTCGGAGCTGGTGCAGTACAGTCAGAGCCGGGTGTACTCCGTAGGCGAGCTCCAAACCCGCTTGGCTCACTTGGGCCATCAAGTAGGGGCTCGAGTCCTCGACGCCTTGGTAGCCCGGGAGAAGAGCGGTCGGCGCGAGACGAAGGTTTTGCACATCCTCCTCTTCGTCAAAGGGCCTTTATGGAAAGCTCTTTTTGGGAAAGAAGCCGATAAATTGGAACAAGCCAACGACGACGCTCGCACCTATTACGTCATCGAGAAGGAACCTTTGGTGAACACCTTCATCTCGGTGCCCAAGGAGAACAGCACCCTCAACTGCGCCGCCTTCACGGCCGGCCTGCTGGAGGCCGTGTTGGGCGCCAGCGGCTTCCCCGCCAAGGTCACGGCGCACTGGCACAAGGGCACCACGCTCATGATCAAGTTCGAGGAGGCCGTGATCGCGCGGGAGAAGAGCTTGGAGGGGAGGTGAAAAGGGGAAGGGAAGGATGGGGGTGATGGGGGGGTCCGTTCTGGTGTCCGTGTTCGGCTATGGGTTGGGTTGGGGTCCTTCACGATGCTCAATGTTCGGTGATGGGGTTGGGTTGGGTCCTTCACGATGCTCAATGTTCTGTAATGGGGTTGGGTTGGGTCCTCCCTCATGTCCAATGTTCTCTAATATAGATGCTTTGGGTCCTTCACGATGTCCAATGTTCTGTAATGGGGTTGGGTTGGGGTTCTTCACGATGTCCAATGTTCGGTGATGGGGTTGGGTTGGGTTCCTTCACGATGCTCAATGTTCAGTAATGGGGTTGGGTTGGGGTTCTTCACGATGTCCAATGTTCGGTGATGGGGTTGGGTTGGGGTCCTTCACAATGACCATGTTCTCTAATGAAAATGCTTTGGGTCCTCCCTCATGTCCGGTGTTCTCTAATGAAGCTGCTTTGGGTCCTCCCTCATGTCCAATGTTCTCTAATGGGGTTGGGTTGGGGTCCTTCACAATGTCCAATGTTCGGTGATGATGGGGTTGGGTTTGGGTCCTTCACAATGTCCATGTTCGGTGATGGAGATGCTTTGGGTCCTCCCTCATGTCCATGTTCTCTAATGAAGATGCTTTGGGTCCTTCACGATGTCCAATGTTCTGTAATGGGGTTGGGTTGGGGTTCGTCACAATGTCCATGTTCGGTGATGGGGTTGGGTTGGGTTCCTTCACGATGTCCATGTTCGGCGATGGAGGTGATTGAGGGGTCCTTTTTGATGTCCATGTTCTGCTATGGGGTTGGGTTGGGGTCCTTCACGATGCTCAATGTTCTGTAATGGGGTTGGGTTGGGTCCTCCCTCATGTCCAATGTTCGGTAATGGGGTTGGGTTGGGGTCCTTCACGATGCTCAATGTTCGGTGATGGGGTTGGGTTGGGGTCCTTCACGATGCTCAATGTTCGGTGATGGGGTTGGGTTGGGCTCCTTCATGATGCTCAATGTTCTGTAATGGGGTTGGGTTGGGGTCCTTCACGATGCTCAATGTTCTGTAATGGGGTTGGGTTGGGGTCCTTCACGATGCTCAATGTTCAGCTATGGGTTGGGTTGGGGTCCTTCACGATGCTCAATGTTCAGTGATGGGGTTGGGTTGGGGTCCTTCACGATGCTCAATGTTCAGTGATGGGGTTGGGTTGGGGTCCTTCACGATGTCCATGTTCTCTATTGGAGATGGTTTCGGTCCTTCCTGATGTCCATGTTCTGTAATGGGGTTGGGTTGGGTTCCTTCACGATGTCCATGTTTGGTGATGGGGTTGGGTTGGGGTCCTTCACGATGTCCAGTGTTTTGTAATGGGGTTGGGTTGGGTCCTCCCTCATGTCCAATGTTCTCTAATGGAGATGCTTTGGGTCCTTCACGATGTCCAGTGTTCTCTAATGGGGTTGGGTTGGGGTCCTTCACGATGTCCAATGTTCGGTGATGGGGTTGGGTTGGGGTCCTTCACGATGCTCAATGTTCTGTAATGGGGTTGGGTTGGGTCCTCCCTCATGTCCAATGTTCTCTAATGGAGATGCTTTGGGTCCTTCACGATGTTCAATGTTCTCTAATGGGGTTGGGTTGGGGTCCTTCATGATGCTCAATGTTCGGTGATGGGGTTGGGTTGGGGTCCTTCACGATGCCCAGTGTTCGGTGATGGGGTTGGGTTGGGGTCCTTCACGATGCTCAATGTTCGGTGATGGGGTTGGGTTGGGTCCTTCATGATGTCCAATGTTCTGTAATGGGGTTGGGTTGGGGTCCTTCACGATGCTCAATGTTCTGTAATGGGGTTGGGTTGGGTCCTCCCTCATGTCCCTGTTCTCTAATGAAGATGCTTTGGGTCCTCCCTCATGTCCAATGTTCTCTAATGGAGATGCTTTGGGTCCTCCCTCATGTCCATGTTCTCTAATGGAGATGCTTTGGGTCCTCCCTCATGTCCAATGTTCTCTAATGGAGATGCTTTGGGTCCTCCCTCATGTCCAATGTTCTCTAATGGAGATGCTTTGGGTCCTCCCCCATGTCCAATGTTCTCTAATGGAGATGGTTTGGGTCCTTCCTGATGTCCAGTGTTCCATAATGGGGTGATGAGGTTGGGTTGGGGTCCTTCACGATGTCCATGTTCTCTATTGGAGATGCTTTGGGTCCTCCCTCATGTCCAATGTCCTGCTCTGGGGATGCTGTACCTGGGTCAGGTCCCTTCCACCGCCGCCACCCTCCCGTAGGCCGTTATGGGGCAGGAGCCCCTGGTGACCCCGTTCATCTCGCTGCCCAAGGCGAACAGCACCCTCAACTGCGCCGCTGCCCTGTGTTCGGCGCCAGCACTCCCGTTTCTCCTCCATGGTAACCATTGCAGTGCGGTGTTTGGGCTTTCGGCCTGGGAACAGAGCTGATAACACCGACGCTTTGGTTTGGCCGAGGACTTTGTGAGCCTCCTGCTCTGCCAGGGAGGAGAGGAAGCCGAGACAGGACTCCTGACCCAAAGTGACCACAGAGGTGTTCCATAGCACAGCACGTCATGGCCAGGATGGAACTGGGGGTGAGCTGGGGGTGAGTTATCGGTGGGCTGGTGCTGAGGTGTTGTATTCCCTTCCCTTGTTATTTCCTTTGTCATCATTGGTGGTAGCAGCAGTGATTTGTGTTATATCTTAGTTACTGAACTGATCTGATCTCAACCCGGGGAGTTGCGTTCTTTTGGTTCTCCTCTCCGTCCCTCCGGGAAGTGAGTGAATGAGTTACCTGAGTGGGTTTAAATCACGACACAGGGATACAGAGATGCAGGGATACAGGGATGAAGGGATACAGGGATGCAGTGACACAGGGATGCAGTGACAGGGATGCAGTGACAGGGATGCAGTGACACAGGGATGCAGTGACAGGGATGCAGTGACACAGGGATGCAGTGACAGGGATGCAGTGACACAGGGATGCAGTGACACAGGGATGCAGTGACAGGGATGCAGTGACAGGGATGCAGTGACACAGGGATGCAGTGACACAGGGATGCAGTGACACAGGGATGCAGTGACAGGGATGCAGTGACACAGGGATGCAGTGACAGGGATGCAGTGACAGGGATGCAGTGACACAGGGATGCAGTGACACAGGGATGCAGTGACACAGGGATGCAGTGACAGGGATGCAGTGACACAGGGATGCAGTGACAGGGATGCAGTGACAGGGATGCAGTGACACAGGGATGCAGGGACACAGGGATGCAGTGACAGGGATGCAGTGACACAGGGATGCAGGGATACAGGGATGCAGTGACAGGGATGCAGTGACACAGGGATGCAGTGACAGGGATGCAGTGACAGGGATACAGTGACACAGGGATGCAGTGACACAGGGATGCAGTGACACAGGGATGCAGTGACAGGGATGCAGTGACACAGGGATGCAGTGACACAGGGATGCAGTGACAGGGATGCAGTGACAGGGATGCAGTGACACAGGGATGCAGTGACAGGGATGCAGTGACACAGGGATGCAGTGACACAGGGATGCAGTGACAGGGATGCAGTGACAGGGATGCAGTGACACAGGGATGCAGTGACAGGGATGCAGTGACACAGGGATGCAGTGACACAGGGATGCAGTGACACAGGGATGCAGTGACAGGGATGCAGTGACAGGGATGCAGGGATACAGGGATGCAGTGACAGGGATGCAGTGACACAGGGATGCAGTGACACAGGGATGCAGTGACAGGGATGCAGTGACACAGGGATGCAGTGACACAGGGATGCAGTGACAGGGATGCAGGGATACAGGGATGCAGTGACAGGGATGCAGTGACAGGGATGCAGTGACACAGGGATGCAGTGACAGGGATGCAGTGACACAGGGATGCAGTGACACAGGGATGCAGTGACAGGGATGCAGTGACACAGGGATGCAGTGACACAGGGATGCAGTGACAGGGATGCAGTGACACAGGGATGCAGTGACAGGGATGCAGTGACAGGGATGCAGTGACAGGGATGCAGTGAGAGGGATGCAGTGACACAGGGATGCAGTGACAGGGATGCAGTGACACAGGGATGCAGTGACACAGGGATGCAGTGACAGGGATGCAGTGACACAGGGATGCAGTGACAGGGATGCAGTGACACAGGGATGCAGTGACAGGGATGCAGTGACAGGGATGCAGTGACAGGGATGCAGTGACACAGGGATGCAGTGACAGGGATGCAGTGACAGGGATGCAGTGACAGGGATGCAGTGACAGGGATGCAGTGACACAGGGATGCAGTGACAGGGATGCAGTGACAGGGATGCAGTGACACAGGGATGCAGTGACAGGGATGCAGTGACAGGGATGCAGTGACACAGGGATGCAGTGACACAGGGATGCAGTGACAGGGATGCAGTGACACAGGGATGCAGTGACAGGGATGCAGTGACACAGGGATGCAGTGACAGGGATGCAGTGACAGGGATGCAGTGACAGGGATGCAATGACACAGGGATGCAGTGACGGGGATGCAGTGACGGGGATGCAGTGACACAGGGATGCAGTGACAGGGATGCAGTGACACAGGGATGCAGTGACAGGGATGCAGTGACAGGGATGCAGTGACAGGGATGCAGTGACACAGGGATGCAGTGACAGGGATGCAGTGACAGGGATGCAGTGACAGGGATGCAGTGACACAGGGATGCAGTGACACAGGGATGCAGTGACACAGGGATGCAGTGACACAGGGATGCAGTGACAGGGATGCAGTGACAGGGATGCAGTGACACAGGGATGCAGTGACAGGGATGCAGTGACACAGGGATGCGGTGACACAGGGATGCAGGGACAGGGATGCAGGGACACAGGGATGCAGTGACACAGGGATGCAGTGACACAGGGATGCAGTGACGGATGCAGTGACACAGGGATGCAGTGACACATCATCCAATCCTTCGGTTTATTGACAACAGGAATTCAACCCCAAAGCAAAGAGAAGCGGGTGACACCCCCCCCACCCCCCCACTGTCCATCAGGGTAACAACAGGGGGGTGGCATCCTTTTGACACCCCCCCTTCCTTGTCACAGCATCCGGGTGACATCACAGTGACGCATCCCCCCCGTTATGACATCACAGTGTGACATCACTATGACACATCCCCTCCAGCGTGACATCACAGCATCCCACATGACATCAGAGCACGCGTCCCGTTCCCCCCCCCCCCATTTAAGAGCAGATGACGTAGGTGGGGGGGTCCCCATCAGCGGGGGGGTCCCCATCCACCCATTTAAAGGGGGCCCCTTTCAGGGGGGCCAGGTTGGCGTAAGAGCCATGGGGGGGGTCCGGGGGGGGTCCGGGGGGGGCTCCTCTGGGGGTCAGAAGGGCAGAGCCGGGGTCAAAGAGCGTGTACTCAAAGCTGGAGGCGGGTGAGGGTCCGGCGCTGGGGGGGGTACAGGGGGGGTCCCCCTCGGGGGGGGGGGGGGGGGGGGGGGGGGGGCGGCCCCTTGCCTGGGGGGGGCCCCACTTCCTCCACGGTGCTCGGCAGCTCCTCGGCTTCGGGGGGGCCCCCCGGAGGGGTCCAGGGAGCCCCAACCCCGTGGCAGAGCCAGAGCTGGGGGGGGGATGAGGTGTTAGAGAGCATCCCCCCTTTAGTGGTACCCCAATAACACACCCCATTGATGCAGGATCCCCCCCCTTTATTGGTACCCCAATAACCCACCCCATTGATGCAGGACCCCCCCCTTTGTGGTACCCCAATAACCCATCCCATTGATGCAGGACCCCCCCCCCTTTGTGGTACCCCCCCAATAACCATAACCCCCTATTGATAAAGGTTTTTCCCCCCTTTGGGACCCCCCCATTGATGCAGGACCCCCCCCATTGTGGTACCCCAATAACCCACCCCATTGATGCAGGACCCCCCCCTTTGTGGTACCCCAATAACCCACCCCATTGATGCAGGACCCCCCCCTTTTGTGGTACCCCAATAACCCACCCCATTGATGCAGGACCCCCCCTTTGTGGTACCCCAATAACCCATCCCATTGATGCAGGCCCCCCCCTTTGTGGTACCCCCCCCAAATACCCCCCCATTAATGCAGGACACCCCCCCTTTGTGGTACCCCAATAACCCATCCCATTGATGTAGTGCCCCCCCCCTTTGTGGAACCCCAAATACCCCCCCATTGATGCAGGACCCCCCCCTTTGTGGTACCCCAATAACCCACCCCATTGATGTAGGAACCCCCCGCTTTGTGGTACCCCAATAACCCATCCCATTGATGCAGGACCCCCCCCTCTTTGTAGTACCCCCCCAATAACCCACCCCATTAATGCAGGACACCCCCCCTTTGTGGTACCCCAATAACCCACCTCATTGATGTAGCCCCCCCCCCTCTTTGTGGTACCCCAAATACCCCCCATTGATGCAGGACCCCCCCCTTTGTGGTACCCCCCCCAAATACCCCCCCATTGATGTAGGGACATCCCCCCCTTTGTGGTACCCCCCCCAAATACACCCACATTGATGTAGGACCCCCCCCGCTTTGTGGTACCCCAATAACCCACCCCATTGATGTACCCCCCCCTTTGTGGTACCCCAAATACCCCCCATTAATATAGACCCCCCAAATACCCCCACATTGATGCACCCCCCCCCCCCCAATAACTCATCCCATTGATGCACCTCTACCCCCCCCAAATACCCCCACATTGATGCAGGACCCCCCCCCCTTTGTGGTACCCCAATAACCCATCCCATTGATGCAGGACCCCCCCCTTTGTGGTAAACCCCCCAAATACTCCCCCCATTAATATAGACCCCCCCAAACACCCCCCCTTTCATTGCACCCTTCAAACTGGGGTCCCTTTAACCCCCATCTCCCCCTTCTATCCCACCCCCAATGTGCCCCCCATCACCCCCCTTGCCCCCCATCACCCCCCCCCCCCCCCCATACCTGGAAGTTGCCCCCATAGGCACTGAAGAGCCCCTCAAACTCCCTCTCAGGGCCTGGCACCGGGGGCCAAAGCTTCTCCTGCAGCAGCCTGGGGGGCAGCAGTGACCCCATTGTGGGGGGGGCACAAACCCAGGACCCCCCCCACATAACCCCCCCATAACCACCCCCCCCCCATTACCTGCGGTGCCCCAGCAGCCCCAGCAGCCCCAGTGCCAGCACCAGGATGGCCAAGAGGCAGGAGAGCCCCAGCGTCACTGGGTCCACGTCTGCAAGGGGGGGGGGGATAAATGGGGATGGGGATGGGGGGGCAGAGAAGGATGGGACCCCCCCAATGGGTGCCTTCCCCCCTCAAATGGGTGCCCCCCCGCCTCATACCCCCCCCATGTCCTCAGCGAGGGGGGTGGTCAGAGCAGGATGTGACCCCCCCCAATGGGTGACCCCCTCCTCCATGGGTGACCCCACACCCAATGGGTGACCCCCCCAATCAATGGGTGCCCCCTCCCCAATGGGTGACCCCCCCAATCAATGGGTGCCCCCCTCCTCCATGGGTGACCCCCCCCTCCTCAATGGGTGCCCCCCCCAATGGATGCCCCCCACCCCCACCCAAGGGTGCCCCCCCTCCCCAATGGATGCCCCCCCCCCCCAAGGGTGCCCCCTCCACCCAATGGATGCCCCTCCCCCAATGACCCCCCCCCAATGGATGCCCCCCCCCAATGGATGCCCCCCCCCCCCATCCAATGGCGGCCCCCCCCCCCGAATCGGTGCCCCCCTCGTCCATCGGTGCCCCCCCCCCCCAAGGGTGCCCCCCCCCCAATGGATGCCCCCCCCTCCCCAATGGGTGCTCCCCACCCGATGGATGCCCCCCATCCCCACCCAATGGCTGCCCCCCCCCCCCGAATAGGTGCCCCCCTCGTCCATAGGTGCCCACCCAATGGGTGCCCCTCCCCAATGGCTGCTCCCCACCCAATGGATGCCCCCCACCCCCACCCAATGGGTGCCCCCTCCCCCAATGGGTGCCCCCCACCCCCACCCAATGGATGCCCCCCCCATCCAATGGGTGCCCCCCCTCCCCAATGGCTGTCCCCCCCTCACCCACTGGATGCCCCCCCCCAATGGCTGCCCCCCACCCCCACCCAATGGCTGCCCCTCCCCCCCCCAATGGCTGCCCCCCCCACACCCAATGGATGCCCCCCACCCCCACCCAATGAATGCCCCCCACCCCCACCCAATGGCTGCCCCCCCCACCCACTGGAGGCCCTCCCCCCAATGGCTGCCCCCCACCCCCACCCAAT